CCCGGAGGGCGGGCCGGGCCGCCGGCCGCGGGGGGCCGCGCGGGGTGTGCGCCGGGGAAGGGATGCACCCATGGGGGCGCGGAATGGAAACGCAAGCGGGAACGGGAGTGTGGCTAGGTCGGCGCATGGAGAGCCGACTCTGCCATTAACGGTACCAGGAGCGACCCGTGTAGCTCCACCTAGCCTGCCTCTGCCCCCAGCCCCCATGAGCCTGAAGGAAAGGAGGCTGAGAGGTCCAGGAGGGACGTGTCCAGGAGGCCCACGGTGCTGGGCGGGAGTGAGGTTGCAGTCCAGGCTGGACTGATTATTTTGCGGGGCTCTGGAGTGCGAGGCGTTGGGGAGAAAAGACAGAGAGCGGAGGAGTTGGGGTCAAGGGGAAGGCGGAGGTCATCTGAGGAGAGATGGGGGTGGGCGCAGGGAGGAGGGAGCAGTCTGTGAGCTATTTGCGCTTCTCCCCAGCACCGCACCCTCAGAGGGGACATCTGTTACACTGCCTGACACAAGTAGGGCCCTGAGTTGATATTTGTAGGATAAATAATGGATGCCCCGAGCACCTCATTAAGACAGCCTTTGCTGAGATGGAATCTGCTGATGCATTAATTAATAGAATTCATGCCTTGTCTAGTTCCCTTAAAGACTAAGTCACGTTTGGTCCAATTCCCAGTGAGGAAACTCTAGCATTGCTCCTTCTAAAAGAAATGGCCAACTGGTTTAAATTTACATCAGCATTTTTGTTGCAAGTACTAAAAAACCTGCAAGCCAAAGTAATACATGCCTTTTTTTTAAGTCAAGCAGTATAGATATAAATTAAGTAAAAAGATAAAGTGTCCTTCTCATTCCCCCACACCACCCTGCCACACTATCAGGGGTAACCACATTTCTAGACATTTTGCTAAGCGCCTAAACACACACGCACACACACACACAATTTACACAAATGCTTCCTACTATACAAACCATCCTGCAGGTTGATTCTTGTATTCAACAATACATCATGGATGTTATTCCCTGCCTGCACATTCAGATCTATTTTATTCTGCTTAATAACCGCATAACGCTCCATAATAATGATGATTCCACCATTGCTTAACGATTCCTCTTTGAATGGATGTTTAATTCTTCAATATTTGCTATTTCAAATACTGCCGAGTGAATATCCTTATGCATATATGTTTGTGCCCTTGTGCAGGTATTTCTTATAAAGGAAATTCTTAGAAGAGGAATTGCTACGTCTTAGGTTGATGCACATGCTAAGTGTTGACAAAATTTGCCAAACCGGTCTCTAAATATGTTGCACAAATTCACTCTCATATCCATGTCACAGACACCTTCTCCAAAACTGAGAAATATCCATTGTTTTAAAATTCCATCAGTCTTGCATGGAAAACAGCATCTCATTGATTGTAAACTTGGTTTCTCCTTATCATGAGCTTGAACATCCTTTCTTATGCTTGCTGCCATTCGTAATAAGTCTCCTGTAAGTTGCACCTTCAGTTTGTAGTCACTTCAAAGCACACACTGAAGACCACCCATGGGTCTGTGACAGCAACCCTTTTCTTGGATAATTCACTTGGAGTTTCTGCTACTATTGAGACCCCTAGTTCAACTAAAGGAAGCCCACTTAGGAAATTCAGCATCCACACACCCATACACATCCTTGGGCAAGAGTGGACATCCCATCCATCCATTATCCAGTGAGTTGATGAGTTTGAACATATCTGGAGGTGTTAGACTTGAGGGTTTTGCCAAAACTAAAAAGACCATGCCAGTGAAGAAGGAAGTGGTTAACAGGAAAACTATAGAATAAGCTGGGAAGATTATTAAATTTCTACCATCTTAAAAGGCACAAGACCCTGGTATTTTTAAAGATGAGTTCTATTTAACCTTCAAGTCAGGGAATTCCCTTTCTATTGAAATAACTCTGATCTATTAAAAAAAAAAAACAGAAAACTCCAAAATTCATTTTTTAAAAGTCAGCATTACATTAATGCTAAAGCCTCACTAGGAGAGTAAGGCAAAGAAAGTAGCAAGAAATTTTAAAATATTGGCATGTTGAATACAATTCAATGTAGAGGATAATCAAAAACATGAACTAGTAGCATTTATTACAAAAGCAAGAACAGCTGAGCTTTATGAAATCTATCAACAATTTGTTACACCAACAAATAAAGGAGAAAAACCCAAAGTGTTTTTGTCGAGAGATACCTAAAAGGCATTTCATACAACTGAATGGCCATTCATTCAAAAAAAAACTGTGTAAGACAAGAAAAAAAATTACCTAGATATGATAAAGACCACTTCAGGGGCGCCTGGGTGGCTCAGTTGGTTAAGCAACTGCCTTCGGCTCAGGTCATGGTCCTGGAGTCCCGGGATCGAGTCCCACATCGGGCTCCCTGCTCAGCGAGGAGCCTGCTTCTCCCTCTGACCCTCCCCCCTCTCATGTACTCTCTCTCATTCTCGCTCTCTCAAATAAATAAATAAATCTTTAAAAAAAAAAAAAAAGACCACTTCAAAAATCTGCACCTATTCAGATCAGGAAAAGAGATGAGAATTCTCACTATTACAGCTTTACTGACAATTTGTTTGGCAATTCTACCTAATGAAACAAGTCAAGAAATTAAAATATGCAGCATATCTGTGGAAACAAAGAGGCAAAATTATCTTTATTGGAGGATAATATCGTACACTTAGAACACTCAAGACACTACAAAAAACATTACAATTTGCAATTTTGTGCAATGACTAGATATAAGATAAACACACAAAACTCAATGCCCTTCCTGTGGTATCTTAGGTCAAGTTCTCTGGGAAATAGACTCTGAAATTTACCTGCAGCAGCACATGTGGTGAAGCCAGACACAGAACCAGGTGCAGGGAGAAGCTTAACAGAGGCCTCAGCCACCACCATGGGAAGCTCTGAGAGTTGGTCACTTGGAGATGTCCCAAGCTGAGGCGTGGAGACCACGTCTATTCTCCCACATTTTCCAGCCAAGGGATGCAGGCCTGGGGACGATGGATGATCTTGGGTGAGGCAGCTTCCTTCGGCAGAGGGCAATTTCTAGAGAGGGACGTGGTTATGGGCAGAGAGCACACAACACTTCCGGCAGCTGGAGGAGCAAGTGCCTCTGTCCCGAATGGGATGTGAGCAACCCACCACAGCATCCACCATGGCCCTGGAGCAGCCCAGGTCCACCTGCAGCAGACAGTAAGTCCCCCCAGTTTGGGAACAGCTTCTCTGAAGCTCTATTCTTTAGGAAGGTTTCCTCTCATCTCTGCCTTCGGGGCCAGAATCAGAGATGGGCTCTACTTTGTCCCGCAAACCTCTCCCTTGCGAGAGTTCTCAGGTTAAGTGCAGCAGAATCCTACTCCTGCAGCGTACTTCTGCCTGTGACTGTTCCTGATCTAGGTAGACCATTTCTCTGTGCTGGTGGATTGCTGCTGGGTAGGCATGACCTTATGCTGTCGTGGGTCAGAGAGAATCCAGCTCCTGCTGGTCAGTTCTGGCTGTGGGGTCAGCTAATGTCCCCAGTCAGGCCCTCTGCCTCCACCAGAGCCCAGCAGCAAGCCAGGAGCAGTTGCATACTTGGTATTCGATTCTCCTCTGTAGACGGCAGGGCCTTGCTCCAGAACCTTAGTGTCTACACTGTGATGATCCTATTGGGCTTTATCATAAACTCCACATAGCATCTTTCCCACCATAAACGCCTCTAGTACCACAGGCATAAGATCTGCCCATGTGTATGTCCCAAGGGCTGTTGGTACCATACTTGGCATTTCCACAGGTCTTTTCCTGCTCTGGGACCCAATCAAAGATGGCAGCCTCTGTGTCACTTAGTACATGTGTGTCACTCAGGAGGCTCACCTGTGGGATAAGTGAGCCTCAGAACCCCAAGAGGCCTCCAGGGATTCTACTTCTTCCTTCTTGGTGGTGGCAGGTGCAGAAAGCAGTAATCTGTTCTTTCCTTCACAGACAATGTCCCAGCACGCTATAGACCACCCAACTCCTAAACAGAACCTGCTGTGGGGGGCTCCTCAGTCCTGCAGAGCTCACACACCTTAACGAGGCCTCCAACATACTTGCCACTTCTTGTTCCTTCAAATCAGATTAGCATGATGTCACCGATACAGTGGGCCCGTGTGACAGTATGAAGTGTATCCAGATGGTTCGGTCCTCTGAGCTACATTATGACAGAGGACAAGAGAGTTAACACAGCCCTGGGGCGAGACTGAGCGAACACTGTTGTTCCTCCCACAGGAATGCAAACCGTTTCTGGTGGGGTGGAAAAGGACATTTGCCAGATCGACAGCTGAATGTCGTGTCCTGGAGGGACAGGACACATTATCCTGCTTTGCAAAAACAGCAGATCTAGAAAGGAGGCTGCGGCTCAGATTTCTACTTGCTTGTGTTCGTGGGGGCTCAGGGTCACCCTGTAGAATGCATCCAGGTCCCGCAGGCTCCAGGCTGGTGACTCAGATGGCGATGGTGGGGACCACCTTCTACACCCTCTAGGTCTTCAAAGTGGTTCTCATCTCTGCTACTTCCTCCAGGGTTGGAGACTGGTTTGGGTTAACCCTCTTGGTGGGTGCAGGGGTCACTTCCAGAGGCTTTGACTGCCCTTTCCCTGCACGAAAACAAAGTACAGATTCATCCAACTGCATGTACACATTTCGCACTATTTATACCTTCAAGAACCCAGTAAATGACAACAGGTGACCCACTGTGAGCCCAGAACTCTGGTTATGACCTGGGAGTCTACTATAGCAAGG